AAAGCCGGTATTTTATATCTATTAGTGCTCTGTGCATGTTGGTGGATTTTTCTGTGGAGTCCTGCATAAACATCTAATAACCCCTGCTAGGGCACCAACAGCAGACAAGGGAAGCAGTTTTATTCAAGACTAGCTTGGTGAACTAACCAGTTGAGCATGGGTGCCTCAATGGCAGCCATCCCCAAAAAGCCTATATCAGCACACATGACAACTCAGAAAAGTTGAATAGATGGGGCTCCCTTTACAACTCGCAGACAGCTCCACAGAAGTGTCTCCTCTCTCTCAGAGCTTCACTGATTATATGAATGAGGGGCAGGACCTCTTAGTCTTGTAACTTCCTGAGGCTCCTGGCCTTGTAAGTTTTGTGAGCATCCTGAGGCTGGGATGCTTGTTACCTTTCTGGGTTTTATGAGCTTCCCTCCTCCCTCCAGGAAGAAAAGTTTCAGTTTGGAGGAAATAGCTGTGCACTGCAGCATTTGTTATATACATCGTGTGGCCTTTATTATATACACAGTGCAGCATTTATTATACACCATTTGCAAATATACTGCTCCTGTTTGCTATGCACAGTTCTTTTTTAAACTTTATTTTTATTTATGTTTTGTGTCTTTCATGCCTCCTGGTCCCCTCTATGTCCCACTCCAGAATAAAACATAATAAAATTTAACAGGAAAAAAAAGAAGAAAAGGGAGAAAAAGAAAATGTCATCATGGAAGCTGCTGTTTGACACAGTGAGTCATGCATTAAATCCCTTTATCCACACATTTTTACATGCAGGCGTTCATAGCAAAGAATCATTAGTCAGGTTCAAGGCCCTGGTTCTCTGCTACATCATCAACACTAGGCCTTCGCTGGGACTCACTAGACATCCTGTTCCTGCCCTGTGATGTGGAATATTCATCCTTCTGTATACTGTGAATATGTGTTGCTTTTATTGGTAGATGAATAAAACTGTTTTGGCCAATGGTCAGGCAGAATAGAGCCAGGTGGGAAGTGCCATCGTGAAGAAGAGCCATGTTAGAAGTCACACAGTAACAGTGTGTTCAGCGGTAACTGCCAATGTGGTAAATCCCAAAGTATGTTTCAGAATTCAGCTGTTCCTGAATAACAGCTCTGTGCCAGGCACTGTGCTAGTTGTTGATGTACCATTCAATCTGCACAGCCTGTAAGGGAAAGCATTAGATCCAGCACTTCATAACTTAGGCTAGCTTTCAAGGACTCGTTGCATCCTGACAATATTTGGGGGAAAATGTTGTCTGTACTTCACTCACTTACTTTTCTTTTTTAAAATATTCAATCCAAGTTCTTGGGTACTTTTCTATTGCTGTAATAGAACATCATGACAAAGTATAGAAGACACCTAATAGAAGGAGGAGTTTATTTTGGGTTTATAGTTCCATGGAGTCAGAGTCCAACACCATCACATGGGGAGCATTGCAATAAGCACCAGGCCATGGAGGCAGGGTCAGTTGAAAGTGTTATGCCAACTTCGTGACACCCCGAAAGAGACCACCAAGGAGCCGACTCACTGATGCAAATGTATAAGGTTTAGTGTTACAAGCCTCAGCAGGGACCCTGTCCAGCAAACTGGCACAGCAGCTGCAGGAAAAGGGTGCCTGGCCTCAATTGTAAGGGATTTTTTTTTAAAAGGAAAAAACCATAAGCAGGATGGTACATGCCTTGGCTGTTCAGGATTGGGTAAGAGTAGGTAACCTTTGGATTCACTGATGTAAGGGCTAGGGGAATTTCAAAATTGTTACTAACAGTTGCCCACAAGGACAGTTGTGACAAGAAGATGTTATTTACCAAACAGGGAACAGAGAGAGTGATACACTTCTTTCAGCCTTTCCAAACAGGGCCATCAACTGGGAACCAAACATTCAAATGACAGAAACTCTGGGGGACATTTATCTTTCAAGCTATTATAGTACTGAAAAATATTAAAAAAAAAAACAAGGGACTAGGTATTTCTACAGATTTTTTTGTGATTCCTTAAACAATTCAGTAATATACCTACTTTCTAGAGAATTTTCTTATAACTTGGTACTAGAAGAAATATGGAGATGATTTAAGGTATATAGGTGCGTGAGTAGGTTATATAGAATGGCACACCATCACATATAGGGGCTTGAGCACCCTCAGATTTCGATGTTCATAGGACCCTCCATCTAATCCTACCCAGACACAGAGGGCCAATGGTACTGGTTTATACTTTCAGATTAGGAAATAATTTATTTGTTGTTTACAGAAGCCTAACAGTAGATGTTGCTGACATATAAACACAAATATTAAACTCTAAAGCACTCTCCTGATATGATTGTGAAAATCTATTTGATATCTCTCTAAATTGTTACTTACTTTTATGCTTTGCCCATATGTTAGTTAATTCTGGACATCATGGCTATAAGAAAAGAATTCTTGTTTGCGGAAACTGACATATTTTGTTTGTTTTAAGACAATGTAATCTATTCAGAAGTTAAGATTATTTATGATGTCATTTAATTTAAGAACCATGCTACTTTTATAAATTTGTGAGCCAAGCTAATCCATAAATAAATAGGAATCAAAAACCCTCATTTTCTTCAGCAAATACTCAATTAAGGAAAAAAAGCAAATAAGCAACAAATGGTCACACAGTAAGTTAGAAATAAAAGTTTAAAAACATCTCATTGTTCTAAAAATATGTAAACACCTTTCCAATTAACCAAATTATATAACTGAACGATCTCACTTTTGCTTTGCACAAAAATCTTTTCAGAAAAGAGCTATGGGTTTCTTATTTTGCATTTTAGAAACTTAAATCTAAAACAGGTTACCAAAGAATAAATGTAATCTCTGAGAAGAGGAGGAGCGTCATTGTGTAATTTTAGAAGTAACAACCAACCATGATGAGCTTTGTGTAGGTGTTCTGGGTTCAGACTTTGATGTGTGAACTAGGTATGGTGGCACAAGCCTGTAATTCCATCACTTGGAAGGTGGAAGAAGAAGAATTATGAGGTCAAACCTATTCTGGCAAGATTGTCAAAGAAACAAAACTAAAATCAAATCACAGCTAAGCCCACAATGAAAGAAGACAAGAAGCCTGTGTGTAATTTACTGAAGTGACATGTGTCATCACAGAAGTCATTTTTTTCATTAAAAATGGATTTTCACTAAGACATGACTTTTAGCATGTAATGCATATCCCCCCCAATTTCTACATTTTCTTAATTGATTGTAGACCATGTAGGATCAGGAATTCAAAGCAAGGCTGGGCTACACAATGAGATATTGTCTTAAAACAAACGTCTTAGAAAACTGGTTGGGGTGGCATACACCTTTAATCCCAGCACTTGAGAGGCAGAGGCAGGGAGATCTCCATGAGTTCCAGGCCAGCCTTAGCTACATAGTGAGACCCTGACTCAAAACAAAAAAAAAAGCAAAACAAAAAAGATCTCTAGAAAACTAGCTGTACTTCAAGAACATATACAGAAAAGTGAGTGATGTGCCTCTATTATTTTGTTATAAAACTCACTTGACTGTTTTACTAAGAGCCTAGATAGAAGCTATTATGAAAGTGACCATTTTTAACTAAAGATGTTTAACAGAATTTTCTTAAGTACACCAATAACCTGACAAAAGAAATAATAAACCTGTGCCACTTTTCTGAGTGAAGTAAGCAAACTAGAAAGACACATTGCGGTGATACATTGTTTATAATTTAATAAAGCTTGCCCAAGGGTACAGAAAGCAGAGCTAGCCACAAGCCACAAAGCCAGGTAGTGGTGATACATATTTTTAATCCCAGCAGCCATACTAGCTAGCCATTGAGCTAGGCAGTGGTGGAACACACCTTTAATCCCAGGACTCAGAAGACAGGATCTCTGTTAGTTCAAGGCCACAAAATTGATCCAGTCCTAAAGGATAACAGCTCGCAAAAGGTGATCTCAGCACTTGGGATCACACACCTTTAATCCCAGGATTTGAGAGGTATAAAAAAAGCAAAGTCAGTTTTAGGGATTTAGTCTCTATCCAATACAGGGCAGGATTGCTTCAGCCTGGGTAGAGGTAAGAGCTAGTGGCTGGCTGCTTTGCTTCTCTGATATTCAGGCAAGCTTTAATAAATCATAAATCACATATCACCACAGTGGATTGAGAAACAGAAATGATTTCCTTTCCAAACACATTTCTTTAGGGCCTCAACAGGTATCAGAACAAGAAACAAGGCCTAAGACCTATCTGTAATGTAGAGTCTTTCAGGGGAATGCCCCTCCCCCAGTGGATTGTGTAAGAGTGAGTTAGAGCTAGCCCCTTGCTTCCACCCTTCTTCCCAGAAAAAGGCAAAGATAACCAGCTTGCTTATCCAGGAGTGCTGTGAGCTAAATCCACATTGGAGAGTCTCAATCTGATAAGGGGTAGATAATAACAACAAGCTTTAAAAAAAAGAAAGAGAAAAGTAGTAGAATGAATTTACTAATACACAGTAATAGAAAAACAGAGTAAGGAACCCCATCTCTGCTCTGGAACACAGATGCTACACACTTGCTTGCTGGGCCTCTTCCACCACCACCAATATCCACTTAGACAGCATGTTTTTGTTTGATAAAGATAAACTGTCTTAACTAGAAACCTGAAAATTTCGAGCCGGGCGTTGGTGGCGCACACCTTTAATCCCAGCACTCGGGAGGCAGAGGCAGGCGGATCTCTGTGAGTTCGAGACCAGCCTGGACTACCGAGCGAGTTCCAGGACAGCCTCCAAAGCCACAGAGAAACCCTGTCTCGAAAAACCAAAAAAAAAAAAAAAAAAAAAAAAAAAAAAAAGAAACCTGAAAATTTCAACTTCTGTAACACATGCTTACCTCTGGGAAAAATGATTATGATGATGTCTAAGCCTATATGAACTATAAACCGTGAACGATTTCTGATCATGGCTAGGTGTCTTAGTTAGGATTTCAGTTATGAAGAGACAACATGACCACAGCAACTTTTATAAAGGAAAGCATCTAATTGGGCTCACTTACAGTTTCAGAGGTTTAGTCCATCATCACCATGGTGAGACATGGTGGCATATAGGCAGACTAGATGCTGGAGAAGGAGCTGAGAGTTGAGAAGGAGATACATCTTGATCATCAGGGAACAGGAAGTGAACTGAGTGTCACAAGGAGCGAAGGTTGTGCAAAGAAGACCTCAAAACTCACCCCCATTGTGACACATTTCTTCTACCGAGGCCACACCTACCCCATAAAGGCCACACCTCATAATAGTGCCATTCCCATTAGGGGCCATTTTCTTTCACAGTACCACATTGGGTCCCTTTAAGCAATACATAGAAGCTACAGCTATGTGCTGATTAAAGATTTTTTTCCCTTTATTCCTGAGAGCTGAGAATTTCTTGTTGGGGAAGGGTAATCTCCCAACAGTTCTTCCTCTGAGGTTCAATTCTAATAGCACAAGGAAAGAAAATAGTTAAAACATATCTGGCCTGAAAAAGAAGGCAGAAATTCATAATTTGCAAATGATTTGAATGGAATAGTAGTAAAATATTATGAACTACTTACAATGCTGAATGTACAAAAAGCAATTTCAGATTTTGTACAACTTTAGTAGTTTTGACTATAATGACAAAATGAAACCATTTATGCCAGTCAAGAATAGATTTTTGAAAAATATTGACAATAACTTTTGGTAGAAAAGCAAATAATGGTAGCTACACATTCTCTTAGGTGAATTTTACAAGTGTGTGTGTGTGTGTGTGTGTGTGTGTGTGTGTTACAAATGGAGCAGATCATAGAATACTATAGACAGAGGAATTAATTATCTAGGGCCCAAACAGGAAGCATTATACAATGTGCTGGTTAGAAGATAACCATTATTAGTACAAAGATGTAAAAGAAGAAGAAATACAGTAAAAGTCTGGATACTGAAAATGGTTAGGTAGAAGTGCTGAACTTGATGATTTTTACTGGAAGGGCATTGAGAGTTCCTTCTCTTATAGATTTTTGTCCTAGAAAGTTGTGAATTTCGCATGTAATATTTACATCACTGTGTGGCCTTTCCATAATTTGAAATAAAATATTTGGTTTTGAAGTTAATATTCTATTATCCTTCAGTTTATGTGTGAGATTGATTACAGGATCTCTTGTAGATATCAAAATATGTAGATACTCAAGTTCTTTACATAAAATGGCATAGCATTTGTATACAATTGACACACAACCCTTGGCATACTTTAAATCATGTCTATATTATGTATCAGACATGACTCAATGTGAAAAATATGTAAATGGTATTTTTGTTGTATTTTAGGATATACCCATGAAAAAGAAGTCTACTTATTCAGACACTTTTTTTTCTGGATATCCACTGGATATTTTCATGGTTGACTGAGTTCATGGGAATGGAATCCACACACATGGAAGCCTGATTACATATGTAGTTTTCAAGGACCAATGACATGCATCAGTTTTTGGCTTTATCTCTCTTTATCCTTTTGATGTTATTTTACTGAGGTGAGCAACTTAATTAATTAATTTTTTTGCAGTGTTGGAGATTGGACTCAGAACCGTGTATAAGGCCAGTAGTTTTCAATCTTCCCAATGCTGTGACCATTTAATACAGTTCCTCATGTTATGGTGATCCTCAATGATAAAATTATTTTTGTTGCTACTTCATAACTGTAATTTTGCTGCTGTTACGAATCATAATGTAAATACCTGATATGTAGATGGACTTTGTAACCCCTGTGAATCTGTCTTTTGTCCCTAACAGGGTCATGAACTGCAGTTTGAGAACCAATGATCTAGGCAAGCCCTCTACTGGATTTTTATTGGAAAAATGTTGGGAACTCCTTCTTTTAGAAACGTAAATTCTTGTCCTTTAAGCATCAGTCTTTGGCTTTATCTTATTTATCATTTAGATGTGATATTCCTGAGGTGAGAAACTTAAGTAATTTTTTGCAATGTTGGAGATTGAACTCAGAACCTGGTACATCTCGGCAAAGTCACAATCAATAAAGGTCATCTCCAAATCCTTTTGGTGCTCATTCTTTCATACAGTCAACAAATATTCTAGATTGTGTACCAAGCAATGCTACAGAAATAGGAGAGACATGAATAAGAAAGAGTTGTAATCCCTGTTAATGGAGATAGTGATCCAGTGAGAAGTGTAAGATAGAATACTTTTGCTATACTGTAAAGGTGGAAGTTTCCACAGAGAAATGAACATAGTCTCCATACGATATTCCAAAAGCCAGCCAGACATAGACAACACACACCTACAGTAATTCTAGTATTTAAAACTCAGAGGCCAACTTCAGGCCAAACAGGGGTATATAGTAAGATAATGTCTCAAAGTTATCACTGCTATGGTCAGCAATAACAAAAGAGAAATTCTGATGTCTTGGGCTAAAATGGGGCCGGAATTAGTGGCTTTTCACTATAAACAAATACCTGGCAAGAAGGAGGTTGAGGAAATAGAGGTTAATTAAATAAATCATGAGAAAGAAATAATTGAAAAACACTTAGCATTAACCAGTAAATAATTATAGGAAACATTGCCACTGGCCTTTTAATCTACAGACATGATCTTAACTTAACATTACAAAATTTCAATAGCTTTTGTCCCTGTAGTTTTTATTTTCCTATACTACTTTTGTAGCACTATTCCTATGGGAAATTATTGCTGATACATAAAACATATTATTGAAATCCCATTACGAACAGTATATGTTTAAAGGCAAAATGAATGTAAGCAGCCATGCAGTAAATTTTTACTTCACTGTGAATTTTTTATATGATTGCTAATCCTTAAAATTTCTTTCCCTTGAGATTTTTTAATGAAAGAATCATGAATGAGTAAACAGAAAAGTGAAATATAAACTACATCCTTGAATGATTAAAACTTTTACATTAGTGCTATAAATAAGTAAAACAAAGAAAAAGGTTGTTATTACATAATAATGAATAAAATTTAAAAAATATTGCATCAGAAACTTATATCACAGCAGTACAGGAATAAGAGAGAAGATAGGCATGGGGGCCCGCCTGCAGAGCCAAGGTTCTATGTCCCAAAGTAGCAGCATGGCTGGGGATCAGGTATTCCAACACACCTTTCTATGGGGACATTTCACACTCAAATCATAACCTAAGATGTTCAAAGGAGGGTTGAAAAGTGTTTGCAAGGACCTGTAAGAGCTCAGTAAATAACTCGATAAAAAAGAATTTCATGAAATGATTAAGCTCATGTCTTAATAGAAGGAGTTCCATAAAGGCCTTTCTCTGTTCACCTAGTGATTTTCTTTTCTCATTCACAGTGTTTACCTTAGTTAGGGTTTCTGTTGCTGTGCTGAAATATCATGATTAAAATACAAGACTGGTAGGAGACCGGTCAGATTCAAAGGGAGTCAGGACAGGAACTCAAGCAAGGGTTGAACCTGGAGACAGGAACTGATACAGAGGGCATGGAGGATGCTGCTTACTGGCTTGCTCCTCATGGCTTGCTCAGCCTACTTTCTAATAGAACCAAGAACCACCAGCCCAGGGATGGTACCACCCACCATGGGCTAGCACTACCCACAGTGGGCTGGGCCCTCCTCCATTAATCACTAATTAAGAAAATGCCTTACAGTCTGGTCTACAAACCTGATCAATTGAGATTTCCTCATCTCAGATGACTTTAGCTTGTGTCAAATCTACATAGAGGTACACAGCACAATGGTGTCTACAGTATTTTGAAGACATGACCTCTAAATCTTTGTAGCGTGTGACCATCTGACTTTGATGAGTTATGCCTCCAGCTCATTATTTTTTCCCCATTAAGTAAGTGTCTGTTACGAGAAGCTTTTTCTTTGCTAGCCGCTTTGGTTTATCTCCCGCCAGTTGCCTGGGCTCTGCCACTTTGTAGTCCCCAAATAAACACACAAGACGCTGTGTTAATTATGAAGCTGTTGGCCTTGCTTGTTTCTTACTGGCTAGCTCTGACTTAAGTAATTACCCCATAATTGTTAATCTAAGTATGTCTCTTACCGGAGAATAGTTCCGGGCTTCCTACCCCATGGCGTTACATCTCGAACTCTCCTGTGTTTCTCCTTCCCAGAATCCTCCTGGATTCCTAGCCCCACCTATCTAGATTCCTATTGGCCAGACAGTGCTTTATTGACATATACACAGGACTTCCCCAACATCTCCTCTTTTCTGTTTAAACAAAAAGAAAGGTCTTAACTTTAACATAGTCAAATCATATATAACAGAACAGTTATCAAGTAAGAATACAGTTACAATATTTTGTCTATCAACATTTAGCAAGATTTAAAGAAAATATCATCCATCCCATCCTTGTGAGTCTAAAGTTCTATGTAGCTTATCTTTTATCATAACTAAGGAAAACTATAACTACAACTATCTGTCTTCAACTCGATCAAAGACCACAGAAGGATAATATATAATCACTAGGATTGACAAAGAGACATCTTACTGCCTGGACAGTCACCCGAAATTCTTCTGTAACGTTGGGGCATCCATCTTCAGCCCATAGGCCACAATGTGTCCAGAAGATTTCTCATCAAAGCAGGAAATTTCAAACTGTCCATCTGCATTGGCAGTCTGTCAGTCATTTTTCTTTGTCCTGCAGAAAGTCTCATGGACTCTTCCATGAAGCAGGAACCCTGTAAGACTGAGTTCAGTAGTCACTTTCCTGTGGGTCCTGCATGTCCAGTTTATACAGCAACAGTCATTCTAGGCAAGGGCAGTTTCTTGCCCAAATGGCTAATCTTGCCATGTTGAAAGCAAACTCCATAACGAGTTTCTTCGATGCCCATTTTCCTCTCATAATTGGTGCTGCCAGGAGCAGACATTTCTCATTGCCAAGAAAAACCCTAAACCATTTTAAATGCCATTTTCTGAAGGTCTTTGAAAGGTTTGAAGACTGTCTATGTCAAATATATTTCTGTATATCTAGAAAACCTAACTTACCTAACTATAAATTCTGACTATTATAAGTAACTATCTATAATCTCTATTTAATTACGCATTACATTTTAAAAGATCAGTATAAGCACAATACTTAATCAAGAGGAGAAATATACATATCACAAAATTGACCTTGAATTTGTATCAATAAATGAAAAACAATACCCATACCACAATTCCCTTTTTTACCATTAAAAAAGATTGGCTGTGATCA